CACGCGCGGACCTCAAACGAAGAATCCTTTGAATCGGATAGCAGTTTCGCAGCCAATGCCAGCTTGTCAGCCGCCGTGCGGGCATCGGGCTGGTGGAGTGACTCCCGCACGAAGACGCCGGCACCGTCGATGCGGCGATCATCCTGGTAGTAAAGGTCCTTGAGGAGGGCGTTGTCGGCTTCTCGGGCAGCGGAAGCCTCGACGAGAGCTGTGGCGGCAGGGCGAGCGTTGATGACGCGGAAGAAGGCGGCCAGGGGCAATTTCTTTTTCATCTCGAGAAGAACAGTCAGCGTGAGATCCGAGTCGCCACTCTCAATGGCTTTGTCCAGGGCAAGCTCATCCTCTTCCATGCTCAGGAGGAGAGGCACCTGGCGGCCGCCGCGTGGTTCGTGGTTGAGTAGCTCGGTCGCGAGACGGCTGCGACCCTCATCGTAGGCGGCACGGGCTATTTCTTCAAAAGAAATGCCTGGCTTTCCCGACAGACGGTCGACAATCATGCGGCAGATCGTGTCGTCGTCTTCAGTCCCAGCGCGGACTTTTGCTGAAGCCCAATGGACGTAGATACGGTCGGTGGGTAGGTGGAGGTATCCAGCAATTTTCAAGGCGAGAAGGTACTCGTGACGACTGAGCAGTCTGTTGATGAGACCCTCCGGTGTGAGCCGCTGATACTGCTCAAAAGAGAGGGGAAGTCCGACCTCGAAGAACCGCACGGCATTGAGAACACGAAGCGTCTCGCACATGTCGACGAAGTCATCACTGTTGTAAATGTCGAGCACCGACTTGCCGAAGGATGCAGCCTTGAGCAGCTGCTTCTGCCAGTGCACGCTAAACTCGCGACCGGCTGCATTCACGCACGTGTCGACTGCCTCTGTCAGATTTGGTCTGATGAGCTGGATGTAGTCGTCTGCCTTGGGAGATTGGATCTCCAGCTGGCCAACAGCATCCAGGAGTATCGATGCGGCGGATGACTCTGTTCTCGCGCCAAAGACTTGCTCTGTGCTGCGTGGTACACGTTCGACAAAATCACAAACGTCGTTTGTGAACAGGATCGCGCCGTCGTGTTCTACACAGGTTAGTCGACGTGGCTCCGAGCTTGGGTCAAAGTGAAGACCACTTACCTGAGATGGCATGAACACGACCATCGTAGAAGAAGGTGGCGGATGCATTGTCAGGCCCGATCAAATGCACTTCGTCCTCCCAAGCGATGAGGGCATCGGCGCCGCACCACTCGACATACTTCGGTGGTATCTTTGAGTGGCTGCTGTATTCCACGAGTCTTTCCTGAAAGTCGCTTGAAATTACGTGGGCGATGCCGCTCTCTGTATAGAGAGCGATAAGGCCACCATCCGGGGATACACTGACGTGGCTGAAGGGGCCTATATCGAGAAAACGATCCTCGCATTCCGTGGCGTCGGCAACATACAGGGTCTGGCCAATGCTGAGCAGCACCTCGATGGACCGTGAAAGTGTATGGGCAGGAGTCATGATGGCCCAGCCGTGGATCTCGCCCTCTGGCGGTGAAGCAAGCAGCTTCGGCCGTGGCTCCGAATATGATGTGACAGAAATGAGGGCATTGTTGGTGAGCAGAGCCACCATGCCATGATCGTAGAACCTGCTAGCGTGAGCCTTGTTTCGGTGCCTTGGGGCGCCTCAACGAACCTGCATGAAGTGACACCGTAATTATCAGCACCATTCCCCAGGGAGAACTGTGTGAACTCGCCCTGAAGATCATACACCCTGACGGTACCATCGGCCGTCACGATGAGGAGGCTTTCATCTTCAGACCAACCTATGCCCTTGATGGATCCTTTATCCCAGGCAATACTGCGTAACTTTTTGCCGGCATAGCTGTAAATATCGATACTCGGCTTAGCAGACTTCTGCGCTCTGTACGCTTGGATTTTTGTGTCATCACGATAGATGGCTGTGGCACGTCAGTATGCATCACGACGTTTGCAGATGCTCAGTCGTTGAGCTGCGCATACCTAAAGCACCGCCGTTGGGTGCCCCAGCAACAATATGGTTGTCGAGGTCGAGATCCTGGTCAAACACCTCGGTGTAGAGCTGCGTCTTGCGAAACCACTTATCGCCCACGCTCTCCCACCCAACAGACGGATGAGCAATGTCCATTTCGCATCACCTCATGACTGGTCAGAGAGTATCGTTCGGCTTCGCGCGGCGGAAGTGTGGGTGGGGGAGAATGAACGCCAGGTAATAAGTACGGTATGGCACTCAGTGCGTGACGGGAGCTCACATGAGCTTGCCTGGAGCTCCTACCGCCCACGCGCCCACACGACCTCCCCAGCCCCCCCCCCGGCCGTGCCTCTGCAGTGGGGCGGCAAAACACCGGTAGGCACGTCATTGAGGGGTGTTTGTGTCTTGGAACCTCTGATAAGGTAAGGTAAGGTAGCCTTCACTGACCTTGCGCGCGTTGCTGCTTCTGGCATGCATCCGCTTGTTGCGACCAACATATATCTCCCGTCGCCTGCGTCTGACGACTGATGCAATAGGAGCTCATCAGCGTCGACCCGTGCGAACGGCTTCTCAGCGCGATGCCTGAATGGCGCGATGAATACCTCGCTTCCCTCCGCGAGCAGGAGCGGAACAATCCCGTGAACCTCGAGCTCGTCGAACTATGTACTTGCTGCCCTCTTCCTGTGCAGACCAAAGCCGCGGACAATAATTGACACGTTATGCGCATGGCAGGCTCGCAGCTGACCGATCGCGTCGCGGCACTCGAGGCTGAGAAGGAAGCGCTCGCAGCGACGACAAAGCTGCCGGCAAAGGCCGGTGCAAAGGCTGCTGCTCCCGTGGATGGTGCCGACCCCGTTGCCGCGCAGCTCCGATTCGACCTCGCCGAAGCCCTACGATCGAAAGGTTCCCTGCAGTCTCGGGCGAAAAAGGCCGAGGACGAGCTTGTCGAGTTACGCAACAAGACCAAGACAGATACCCACGAGTTGAGGGCCCTCACGTCGGAGAAGGCTGCCCTCGTCACCAAATTACGTGACCGCGAACACGAAATCAAGGAAAAAAGAAAATTGATCGAGGTTTGTGCCTGCAACGCGCCTCCCTCGCCGTGCCCATCGCTGACTGTCGAAGGACGTCCAAGACGAGATGATCACATTAAACCTTCAGGTTGCCATGGCCGAGAAAGAGCGTGACAAGGTCAAGAGAGAGAACAAGGAGCTCATTGACCGCTGGATGAAGAGAATGGCCCAGGAAGCTGACGCCATGAACCTCGCCAACGAACCACACTTTGACAACAAGCGATGAAGCATACGCAATAATGGTCTTGACAGCTGATCATACCTAAACTTATACTTATACTACAGGTGAAGGCTTGCCGCCGCTGTATCATGCCATGCCATGCAATGTCATGCCGTGTCCGCCGAGAGTCGCCACATGGGTATCCGGCTGCTCTTCAGGCATGCAACATTCCCACCAAGATCACCAGTACACCCGGAACGCCCCTGTATCCCATGGCTTATGCCGCTTCAATGGACCGGCCGTTACGCAAAGCCAAACCCTCGCTTTCAATCTGGTTTCAGACCCCGACAGCCCGCTCTCATCGTCTTCCGCAGTCTACTTTCGCGTCGAAATGCAAAATGTGCCGCCAGCGTTGGTCCAGCTGACGTGGCCCTCGGGATATGTGTGGTCCTCAACCTGCAGAATATTGCTGGCAACATCATTAATGCTGCGCACGCCCTGGTCGTAGAGGAACGACTTGAGCGACACAATCTTGCAGCCTTTCTTGAGGTCAAGGAACAGGCTGACCAGCTTGTCATTGAGCTGTGGCGTGAAGGCTTGGTTGTTGACGAGCACGACGTCGGCGCGTTTGAGGACGTCGTGGACGGACGTTTCCTGGAGGAAGTCTCCCCTGACAAGGTTCACCTTGCCCGGGGCCAACCCCCAAAGCCTGCAGCGCTTGGCAAACTCCTTCTTTTGCGCCTCGGCGAAGTCGCAGGGGTTGTCCATCATCTCGCAGCCCCAACTCTCGCAGCCGATTTCAAGCGCCGCTTGCAGCACGACGTTGCCGACACCCGAACCAAGATCGACAAAGACCTGGTCCGACGTCATGCGCGTCTTCTCCTGAAGGATCTTGGAAATGAACACGTAGTTCAGTTCTCCGTACACATTGTCGGTACCGTTGGTATACTGCTTCAGTTTTTCGACGTCGGGGGACACGGTGCGGTCGTAGACCTGGGTCAGGATGAATTCGACCAGCTTGCGGGGCAGGCTGTGCTTGGTGTCGAGGTTTTTCCGGAATGTGCCGTCGTTAGCCAGAGATAGAATCTTAGCATTGGCGTCTCTGAGCGCGTCCTTGAAACTGCTCAGCTCGTTCATCCCCGATGCGCGCTTCAGGCGACGGATGAGTCCCGCTTTCGGTTCGCGGAAGTCGACCGCTTGTTCTTCCGTCAGGTATTCGTCGGCAACGTGCGAGACAACGTCAATTATGTCCCTAACAGCATCGATCTTGCCATTCTCACGAGAGTTCGTATCTGTCGTAAGAAAGAGATTGTCAGCATCTGTACGGAAAACAAAGGTGCATTAGACGGCGTGCATACCTTTCTGGGCATACAAGCTGGGGTACTGTAAGCTCGACGCGAATGTCGTCGTCGGGCCGGCCCCCAGCGCGCGCTCGACGGCCTTGGAGGTCGACGTCGAGTTCATAATCTCAGTCGCGTGGATGTAGTTGAGCCGCCTGGGCTTTTCGACATCGAACGCATCGGCACAGGTGAGGGTCCTGTTCTTGTCGACATGGTCGTCGAGCGGGCGGCGGCGCTTGCGGCTCTCGAGGTTCAGGAAGACGTCGTCATCCTCGTCCTCGCCGTCCGAGTCCTTGTCAAAGTGCGGCTGCAAGGGGTCGGCGCTGCCGTGTTTGCGCTTCCGCTCGGCGCGGCGGTCATCGGAGGAGGACGGGTAGGGCGACTCGCTCTTGTGGCGGGGCAGCAGCTTGGGCTTCGGGGAGGCGCGAGAGGAGGACGAGGACTGGGAGCGGACCGAGGCGGCAACAGCGGGAGCAAGGAGTCTCGGCTTGGGCTTGGGTGTGACGACTTCGACTCGTTCGCGGTGTACCATGCGTGGCTTTTTGGGTTTTGCGCTGAGGAGGGCCATGGTGAAGAGGGGCGATGTCAAGATACGCGCCCCAGATTGCGGGTTCCAGATTCCGGGTTTCGGTTGGTCAAGTAGTTCGGGGATTAGGTAGGAAAGACCCTGTGCTCTGTTTCTCTCGGGCCTGTCTGTTGTTCGAATGATGTCTGGAAAAGGGGTGATGCAGTGAGCCGCGTGCTTTGGTTGTATCGCGAAATGTGGTCGACAGGAAAATGTAACGGTGGTGTGTTAGGCTGCGGCGGTCGTGCAGTAGGTCGCCTTCCGGTGTCCGGCATGGTGGGTTGGATTGAACCCTCCTGCCTGTCAGTCAGTACATGTACAAAGTACGTACTTTTTCCACTTGTCTTGTCGCTGGCTGCCCTTCCGCGCGCCAGGAACACCCGCGTGGAAGGAAGCCTGGAAAAATGAGTCAGCAGAAATGCCCCTCCGCCACCTGGGAAAGAACCATTGGACGCGCCTTCCAACAGGGGTCTATTGAGTCAGTGGAGATTTCCCCCGGCTTGGAGGGGAATATCTGCACGTGATCTCGTTCCCTACGTACATCTGCAAGCCGCAAGATCGTGGGGTCAGATTCTCCACGCCAGACGCATCGGGATTTGACCCAAGACTGAGTGGCGCGACTTGAGAGAGATACTCCTCGTTGCGTCCCTTGATGGCAGACAATGACTCGGCTGAATGCCGACTGATATTGCGTTGATACTCGAACCACCATATCCTCTTTAAGTGACGGGACCGAGCCTATGATCGAAGCACGAGGCAGCCTCCAATCACTAGTGCGGACCTCGTTGGGAGCTGGGTCCTGTCAGCACGCAAGCGACCCGCCAGACTGGGTCGACGCCAGATTCATGTCGTCGCGCTCCATCAACATCGTCCAGCAGCCAACGGTGGACGGCGACCGAGCATCACTGCCGAGTCCCACGCTGCGATCACGGCACTTGATTCTGCCTTTCATTCGGAGCGACAGCACCGGTGGGAGAGATCGCCCGACTCCGCACCGTTGACGGTCACGCAATCCGAGACCATTCTCGCGATATAGGACCCCTGAGCACGCCATCTGTGCCCGCGAGCTCGCGAATCTTCACCTATCGCACTGCAGCACGCCATGCCGTGCCCGGCTGTCCTCATCATCAGTTGCATGTCTCTACGTCACGATGTACTGTCGCCGTGAGGGGCAGCTCAAATGCCGAAATCCTTCAAGTAGAGGACACTTCGCCCGCGGCGGGGTGGCACACGAATGTCTCTCAAGCGTGAGAAAAAAGCAAGTGGCATATTTGCAGCACAACTGTACATACGTGTAATTTACTTTGCAGAACGTCAACATGGCTCCCGGTGTCCTCGTCAACGAAGCCACGACCCTCCCGTCCCCGGCTGCGGCCAAGTGGAAGGGCAACAACGCCGAAGCGCCGCGGGAGATCTTCCCCGACGGTATCCGCACGTCCGGCCAGCACAACCCCCTCTACGAGAAGCTGCGCCCCTATGAGGATTTCCCCAAGGAGATCACCGGCCCGACAGTCTGGCACAAGGACGAGTTCGTCAACAACCCTGAGCGATGGACTCACCCTCTTACCCCTGAGGAGGTGGAAGAGCTCAGCCGCACTGCCGACGCCTTCATTGCGAGCGGCACAGCGCTGACCGGCATCACCAAGGTATGTCATCCTGTCATGCCGGATGTGCACTCTTGTCTGACCTAGTCAAGGAAAACTTCCCGCTGCCCAACCTCAGCAAGATTCTCGTCAATCTGCGCAGCGACCTCATCGACGGCAAGGGCTTCATTCTGTTCAAGAACTTCCCTGCCCAGCAATGGGGCCCTCACAAGAACGCTGTCGCGTACATGGGTCTCGGCACCTACCTCGGCTACTTTGTGTCCCAAAACGGCCGTGGACATGTTCTGGGCCACGTCAAGGACGTCGGTGATGACGCTACGCAGATTGACAAGGTTCGCATCTACCGAACGACTGCTCGCCAGTTCTTCCACGCCGACGATGGCGACCTCGTCGGTCTGCTGTGCGTTCACCGCGCCGAGGAGGGTGGCGAGAGCGATCTCGTCAGCGTCCACGCCGTCTGGAACAAGCTGCAGCAGGAGCACCCTGATGTGGCCGAGATCCTGACCAAGCCCATCTGGTACTTCGACCGCAAGGGCGAGGTTTCCGAAGGCCAGGACGGCTGGACGAGACAGCCCGTATTCTACCTCGAGAACGGTGGCAAGGGAAGGCTGTACTCCAAGTGGGACCCCTACTACGTGCGATCCCTGAAACGCTTCTCCGACCAGGGCCTCATTCCCGCCCTGAGCCCTGAGCAGGAGAGGGCCCTCAAGATTCTCGAGGAAACCTGCCAGGCGCTAGCCTTGCACATGATCCTTGAGGTCGGCGACATTCAGTTCCTGACCAACACGCACATTCTGCACGCCAGGACGGCATACGTCGGTGAGTCCATTGTGACAGACAGCTCGCGGACGAGTAATGACTGACAAGTTGTAGACCACCCTCCTCCTCACCCCCGCCGCCACCTTTTGCGACTCTGGCTGTCAACGCCCGAGAACGAGGGCGGATGGGCGCTGCCATTTCATGACAGCAACGAGAAGAAGCGAGGTGGTATCCAGGTGAACAACACGGCGCCGCGTGCGCCTCTCGATGCTGAATAGATGGGCGAAAGTGAAAAGAGGCGTGATGCATGTATACGAAGCGTTTGATTTAAGTCGAGGCGCGGAGCAGTACCAAAAGCAGCCCGCCCCCAATACACCCATAAATGAAGAGATTTGTCTCACAGTTGTCGCTCTCCTCAGTGAAGTCTGTGAGGCCGACATCCGACAGCCGGATCGGCACTCTGTGCGGATGCCGTTCCCCGCCCCTCAAATGGCAATCAGGCCGCCCGACATAGGTCAGATTACTGATTACAGAACGTCAGGCCTTGTGTCTTCTCCGCATGGCATGGCTGGCGTCGGTATCTGATCTGGAAGCCCAAAGGTGGGGATCCGGAATACTGATCAACTCCACAGGGCTTTGACTGTTACACACGTCACAGCCTCCTATCATACAAACAACTGCGACGTGATGTAGATCCCGTAGCCCTTGATGAGACTCTCTCCTGAGGCGAAAGATTGAACACAACACGATTGAGTTCAACATCTTTTCTCTTGCGACGTTGACCATGCCTATTCCACCTACATCTACCCCGCTACCATCTTCCTCTTCACCCGCCGCATCTCCTGACCCCGCCCCCGCCGTCTCCAAGTCGTGGAACCCAACCCCGTCAGCGAGGCCCACCCAGGCGTTACAGCGTCACCCCATGAGAGGCCGTCGCGACAAAGCCAAGAACCTCTAGAAGCGCACGAGTTATCTATACACGCCTTCTGGCTACGTTTGGTGGATCCAGGGGGGGGATGCATCGTCGAGTCATGCCAGTGATAGGCATAGACAACCCCCTCAGCGGCTGACGTCGGTCTCCCACTCCGAGATCGCACATAGCCTCCTCTGAGGCCAAGGCTCGAGAGTCGACTTATAGATGTTGATACGCTCTCGTTAGAGAATCACAAAGGTGTCAAAGTGCAAAACCCGCCAACGCTCTTCCACGAGTCCAACCATACTGCCACCACATCATGTCTGTCGTCCTGGCCGAGCCCTTTGCCAGCATCCCGAGGGAGAGCTTCCTCTTCGGGCCCTCCCCGATCCAGGCCCTCCCCCGCATCTCCCAGGCCCTCGGCGGCAAGGTCAACGTCTACGCCAAACGCGAGGACTGCAATTCGGGTCTCGCGTACGGTGGCAACAAGACCCGCAAGCTCGAGTAAGGCGTTTCCCCCCCCCCCCAACTCAGAGAGCGTCCGTTCCCAGGCGTCCTCGTAAGCACCCCTGAGGCATAAAGCGGATATCTCGCCTCCGAGGCGCTCGCTCAGGTCTGCGACAAACTCGACAGCATTGGCGCCGTGCAGACTAACCACACGCGACACTAGACGTCTGTAGCGACCAAGATCGGGATCAGCGCTG